TTTGGGATCAAGCCAAGGCTTCTTATACAGAAGGCAAACACTACCAACTGAACTATATCTCTAGTCCACCAAAAGACTTTTCTGAACTGTGCATGGTGGCACACTGGTAATCCCCAGCAGTTGGAAGGTCAAGACAAGAAGATCAGGAATTCAAGGCTGCCCTGGGAGACAGGAGACCCTGTCTCAGAAGGAAAAAAGAAAAGACTTAGATCTTCAAAAAAATCTTTTAAAAACTGAGATCCTTATTTAATTGAAGTTTTGGAATTAGAAATATAATGTGAAGGAGCTGGAGAGATGGCTCAGCAGTTAAGAGCACTGACTGCTCTTGCAGAGGACCTGGGTTCAAGTCCTAGCACCTATATGGCAGCTGTGAATCGTCTTTAACTCCAGTTCCATGGGTATCCAATTCCCTCTTCTGACCTCCATGGCATTGCATGACACGGTGCACCCACATACATGCAGGCAATATACTCATACACATAAAATAAAAATAAATAAATAAATAATGTTTTTAATTAAAAAAAAGAAATAAAACATGAAATATCAATGGTAGCACATACTCCCAGGACTCTGAAAAAATATCACAGGCCTTGCTTTGCCATGTTTGGAATGGTGATTTTCCAAGTGTTCAGCAGAAGTTGGAACCCACAGTGACATCTGTTGGGATTGTCTTTTGGCCAATAATGTCCCAAATAGAAATTATAGAGATAAAATTATTATATGAAATAAATTTTTCTTGCATAGGATTAACATAGATTAGATACTGCAAAAGAAAAAAGCTGGAGGGATGAGCCTTGGGATGTAGCTTCAGTTGGCAAATTGCTTTCCTAACATGCACAAAACTGTATTTAATCCCCAGCACCACATAAAACCAGGTGAGGTGACACAAGCCTAAAATCCTAATATTTGGGAGGTAGAAGCAGGAAGACCAGAAGTTCAAAGTCATTCTCAGCTACATAGTGAGTTCAAGGCCAATCTAGGCTCTATGAGATTCTGTCTTAAAACAATAAAGAAAAAGAAAAAAGTATACATGAATACATAACAATAGAGACTCTCCGAACTGAAGCAGTGAGAGGGAGAGAGAGAAAATGAAAGTGTATGGGTCTCCTTGCCTAAAAAAATTTAACTTTCAAAACAAAAGTAGTAACAATATTGTCTTTGGAACTTCACAATAGATGTCAAATGTGTGACAAGAATAGCAAGAATGATGGGTGGTGGAGAATGCGAAGTAAGTCTTCGATTAGTACAGAAGTGTGTAACACTATTTCAAGGTAGATTGCGGTAAGTCAAAGACACGTAATGTAAATCCTAGAGCAATTACAAAAGACAGATAGTGTTTAAATCAATTTTGAAATAAAATGGAATAGTAAAATATAATCAGTCTTAAAAAAAGGCAAGAAAAGAAGCAGAAAAGAACAAACTGGATAAATGAAAACACAATAAATGATAGATTTAAACTCAATCATAATAATTACATTGAATATATATTGTTTAACAAAAGACAGTGAGTGGTTGAATGCCTTTAATCCTAGCAGCTCTGTGAATTCAAGGCTACCCTGGTTTACATAATGAGTTCCAGGCCAGCTGGGGCTACAGGGAAGCCCTGTCTCAAAAAGGCTAAAAACAGAAAAAAAAAAAAAAAAGACAGTGGAGACTGTTTGGAAGGAAGAGGACCAGTGGGAGGTGGAAGGGAGGACAAGAGAGAGTAATGAGGGACAAATATAATAAACATATATATATATATATGAAAATGTCATATGAAGGTCCTTATTTTCTACAATTAATATCTGCTAATAAAATGCATATGGGGAAAAAATATATATTTTCCTAAGCAGTCCAATTAAGAGATTGTCACTAGATAAAAATCCAAGAACCAAAAAGAAAGAAACAGAAAAGACAAAAGAGAAAAAGCAAACAAAAAATGCAAGAACCAATATAGAGACACAGCTTAAAAGTAAAAGGATGAAGCCGGGTGTGGTGGTGTACATCTTTAATCCCAGCACTTGGGAGACAGAGGCAGGTGGATCTCTGTGAGTTCAAGGCCAGCCTGGTCTACATAGTGAGTTCCAGGCCATCTGGGGTTACAGGGAGACCATATCTCAAAAAGCCAAAAAAAAAAAAAAGTAAAAGGATGGAAGAAGGTACACCATAGAAATCGGTTGACTCTCAGCTGGCTACAAGAATAACTACTAGTCAACCTATAACTTCATTATGACATTTGCGTGCTAAGTGACAGTGCTCTGACAGTTGACAATCACTACAACATGTCAAGACAGAGTCATGAAAGGGGTAGAGAGGTAGTATCTGAATTTCTAGAAAATCTTTGCCTATTTTCAGAAACGATATAAAAATGCCTCCCCTCTATTAGCCCATCTTTCCCACAAAATTTTTTTACCTTGTATTTGTAACCTCCTGACAACCAGAAGTTGAGAAGTTGATTTGAGAGTTTCTCTCTCAGTTCTCATATTCTTTTGTTGGTGTGGTTGTCTTCTCACAATGTCAGAATTTATTGAATAACAATAAATCCACAAGGTACAGTAGTTTCATTGACAGCAATTTGCCAGATACTCCTGCCTTCATTGATAGCCCTGGCTGAGGCAAACACCAGTTCTTTTATTCCTATCTTAACTACTACTAATAACTATCAGATCACACATTACACATCACTTAGTAAATCTAGTCTCTAGATAGATAGATACACAGACAGACAAACAGACAGACAGACATATATGTTTCAGAATGATTACAAAGGGTTAAAAAGCAAAGGAGTTTCAAAGAGGCCTGAGACGCCAGAGCTGGGAATCAAAATTATAAAGTAGTTTGTGGGATGAGATAAAGAACCATCTGGAAGTCTCTGGAGAAGCTCTGTGTCTGCTGTCCTAGAGTCAGGCTGCCATTCAGAGTTGAGCTATAGAGCTGAAGAAGTGAAAGGGCAGGACCAGGTCCAGACAAACAGATGAGATGGATGGATAGATAACGGGTCCAGACAGGTGAACAGGAGGACAGGTAGATGGCAGTTGAGTAGGTCATAGGCCATGTCATCTGTGGGGACTGAGGCAAACAAACTGAAGTCCCTGAGACATCCAAGAGTTCTCTACCTGTCAGCTCTTGATGCATACACCAGGTGATCAGATGACAGGCTGGGGAGAACTGTTGACATCCCAGTCCATTGCCATTCCCAGTGCTAGGTATCCAGATCTTTATGGGGTCCAGGTGAAGGAGTTATACTCTTTCATTAGTATAGTGTGTCTGGTAAGTTCTCACTCCATCCTTGGCCAAGGAGGAAAAAAGTGTCCTTCACTGCTCAGTGGGTGTTGGTCTTGTTCTTAGTTCCACAGTTCAGGAGGACCGGGTAAGTAGAGACCCAGTTTATGAGCAAAAACTGATAGCAATTCTCCTTATATAAATGTTCATAAGGAGATATGAGTTCAGTTTTTCAATGCAGCATATTTTGGTTCAAAGTACTAGAAATAACCTAATCTCTATCAATAAAAGAATGTTAAGAAATTATGATGTTTTCATATTATTCTATACAGCAGTTTAAATGAATAAAATGTATTTCTTTATCTACACAATTAGGTCTCAATGCTGAGTAAACAAAAGCAATTTGAAGGCCAGACATGGTAGCACACACCTGTAATATCAAAACTTGGAAGGCCAAGACAGGAGGAGGATATTGAATTTCAGGCCAGCCTGGGCTACCTACCAAATTCTAGGCCATATTGGGCTACAAAGCAAAACCCTGTCTCAACCCGCTTTGAAAAAATAAGAAACACAATGTGAAAAATTATACATATATATATGAATTATATATAATTAGTTTTGTACATTTTGTGTGTGTGCTTTGTGTGTATGTGCATGTTCATGTGTGCATTCATTTGTGCTCAAGGTCAGAGGACAACCTTAGGTACCATTCTGTTTTGTTGAGACAGAGTCTCTCATTGGCCTGGAACTTGTCAAATAGGTTAGGATAGGCTGGCTGACCAGATAGACCCAGGGATCCACCTGTCTCCACCTCCCCAGGGCTGGGTTTCCAAGGGCTTACCACCATGTCTGGCTTTTTTATGTGGGTTCTGGAGATTGAACTCAGATCCCTGTGCTTGTAAGGCAAGCGTTTCACCAGCTGAGCCAGCTCCCAAACCTTGTGTGTACTTTAAACAATCATTATTTCTGGCTATTAAGAGCACAGGTGTTAGCTTGCCATTTTCCAATATTTTTGTATAATTAAAATTTTCCCAAAATAAAGTAATGTGTTAATGTGTTAAAAAACAATCAAGGCGGGCACACACCTTTAATCCCAGCACTTGGGAGGCAGAGGCAGGCAGATCTCTGTGAGTTCAAGGCCAGCCTGCTCTACATAGTGAGTTCCAGGACAGCTGGGGGCTACAGGGAGACCCTGTCTCAAAAAGATCAAAAAAAAAAAAAAATCAAGGAGCAGTTAATTGTGACATACTCAGGTCAGTTTTGATGAAAACTGAGCACTGTGTATTGAATTCAGCAATTAATGTCAATCATGACAAGTATTCTTAAATATCCGCTAAATCCAAGGCATTTTGATATGTAACAAAATGGGAAAATTGAATATTAGTCTAAAGGCAAGATGTAGTTTTCTTGCTTTTGATGCTGCAGCTTTTATTTACATGATGATGGTGGTGCTGGTAGTGGTCATATTGATAAAAGATTTAGAAAGTCATGATCTATCTTCATAAAAATATTTAAAATTATTTTGGATTTATTTGTTTATTTTTTGTGTATGAGTGTTATGCCTGCATGTATGTTAAGTGCAACTATATCATGCAATGCCCGCAGAGGACAGAAGAGGGAGTTGAATCCCCTGGAACTGGAGTTACAGATGGTTGTTAGCTGCCATGTGGGTGCTGCTAACCCAGGTCCTCTGCAAAAGCAGCAGGTGCTCTTAACAGCTGAGCCAACTCTCTAGCACCTATCTCCACAAAAATCTTAAATCTGCTGCAACTTCTAATTACAACCTTTCTGTGTAGGTGAAGGCTTTGAATCGGCAAAGAACGTTGGCCTTGCTGGAAGCATTCTATGACCAAAGTCCACGAACACTTAGGAGTTTACTCCGAAACCCAAGACAATGTAAGTGCCACTCAGAGTAGGGGCATTCTCAAGCTGGAGTGTCACCAGACATGGATATAACACGGTCATTTTGTTCACAGGTGATCTCTTCATATTGCATCTCCCTGTTGTGGTAGCCATAGCTGCATCTACATATTCCTATTCCCACAAAATTCACTCTTCCTCACAACTGAACGTGTTTTTTTTTTTACCATCATGCAATACTCAAGACTGTATTTAGAAATTCAGCTAGAGTGCTGGAGAGATGGCTCAGCAGTTAAAAACGCTGACTGTTTTTCCAGAGGACCTGGGTTTGAATCCCATTACCTACATGGCAGCTAACAACTAACTGTCCATAACTCCAGTTCCAGGGGATTTGATACCCTCTTCTGTCCTCCATGGGCATTGCACGACACAGGTGCACTTACATACATGCAGGCAATACACACATAAAATAAAAAAAAAAAAAAAAATAAAAAAGAAATTTGGCTAGAATGAATTTTAAATTTGTTATAAGATAGGCTTTAGTGACAATTTGAATGTTTTGGAAATTGAAAATAGTTATTCCATTTATAATGTCCAACTTAGAATTCTAAGATTTCTAAGGAAGATATTTCCTTTGCTCAAATATTTTTACTTACATACTTATATGGTAAAATATACATATCTACTTATATGGTAAAATAGTCTTTTTTAAATGGTTATCAAAAAAATTCTATTACAGATTTTATTTTTATTTTCTTACATTTATTTATTGTGGAAAGAAGTATACCATGGTGTATATATGGCAGTCAGAGGACAACTTTCGGGAGTCAGTACTTTCTTTCTACCATTTGGGTCCCAGGGATTAAACTCAGGTGGTCAGGCTTAGTAGCAAGTGCCTTTATCCACTGAGCCATCTCTCTGGCTCTATTTTTATTTTTTAAGGAGAAAGACTTTTAGTATCTGAGTTTTCCAAACAATGGTAGTATCTTATTTCTGTACAAAGACTTATTACTTGGATAATTAAAAATCTGCAGGTGGTATATCTGGGATATACCTAAAAAATATAGAAATCATAATTTTACAGCTTAATTACTAAATATTTTCAAGAGGAGGGGGACAGGCATCAATCCTCTTTGTAGTTCTGAATTCTAGGATTTTGTGCATTTTGTGTGTGTGGGGGGGTAGTTTTTTCAGACTGGTCTCACTATGTAGCCCAGTAAAGCCTGGAAACTTTTAATCTTCATGCCTTACCTACTGAATTCTGGGATTACAGCCCAGTATCATCATACCCAGCAGGTTTTGTTGGTTTTTTTTGACAGTGAGATTCTAGTGAATTCTATCTAGTCTTTCCCCCAAATCCTTCCTCCCTCCCTTCCTTTCTTCCTTTCTTATATCAGAGACTAAACTAATTTTTTTTAATTAAGAAATTTTTTGTTTTGCTTTATTTTTATTTTATGTATGTATATACTGTGTGTATGTATGCAGGTGCACCCATGTTGTACAATGCCCACAGAGGACAGAAGAAGGCATCAGATCTCCTGGAACAGGAGTTACTGATGGTTGTTAGCCACCATGTGGGTACTGGGATTTGAACCCAGGTCTTCTGCAAGAGCAGCCCCTGCTCTTAACTGCTGAGCCAACTCTCCAGCCTGTTACTTCCCTTTTTAATACAACCAGGCTCACTCACCCAGGCATGGCACTGTAAGAGGCTAGGCACTCTTACATTGATTAACAATTAAGACAATGCATCAGAGCCAGGCATGGTGGCACACGCCTTTAATCCCAGCACTTGGGAGACAGAGGTAGCCAGATTTCTTTGAGTTCAAGGCCAGCCTGGTCTACATAGTGAGTTCCAGGACAGCTGGGGCTACAGGGAGACCATTTTTTTTTTTTTCTTTTGAGACAGGGTCTCCCTGTAGGCTCAGCTGGCCTAGAACTTGCTTTGTAGACCAGGCTGGCCTTGAACACAAAGATATGCCTGGCTTTATTTATTGCTTTTATTTTATGTGTATGAGTGCTTTGCTTTCATATGTGTGTGACTGTGTTGTGCAGTGCCTGCAGAAGCCAGAAGAGGGCATTGGAGCCCCGGAACTGCTTTTGAGACAGGGTCTCCCTGTAGGCTCAGCTGGCCTAGAACTTGCTTTGTAGACCAGGCTGGCCTTGAACACAAAGATATGCCTGGCTTTATTTATTGCTTTTATTTTATGTGTATGAGTGCTTTGCTTTCATATGTGTGTGACTGTGTTGTGCAGTGCCTGCAGAAGCCAGAAGAGGGCATTGGAGCCCCGGAACTGGATGGTTGTTAGCTACCATGTGAGTGCTGGGAACCAAACCCAGTTCCTCTACAAGAACAGCCAGAGCTTTTAACTGCTGAGCCATCTCTACAGCCCCCTTATTTTATATTTTATGTGTGTGTGCGGTATGTGTGGGGGAATGTACACATGTCACAGTGTACAATGTGATGGTCAGAAGTCAACTTTTCAGAGCTGATTCTCTCCTTCCACTTTTATGTGGATTCTGGGGATTGAATTCAGGTCATTAAGTTTGTGTAGCAAGCACTTTGCCCACTAAGCCATATCTCTGGCCTATATTATAGCTATTCTAAAAAGATATTTGAGATGGAAAGATATATCCCATTCTCCATCTCTATGCTATACTTATTGTATGGAAGGGGACCACAAAAGTAGAGGACACATTTTATATGTGTTAGCAATTCAGACAACACTCCAAATAGTAAAAGAATTATATTCATTTTGTAAACCACACTTTTCATGAAGAGTTGATAACTAACTCATAGTAGTGAGCTTTTTTTTTTATGTTCCTTCAACTATCTGGTGGCAGCAAAAGGTAACTGATATTACAGAAGATAATAGGCTTATATTATAATCACATGCTTCTTTACATTAATTCAATAACTGATTCTGTACTAGAAGGTCAATTATTTAGATAAATATTTTGTTTTCTGTATTAGGGCCTTTTGTAGAATTTGAGGAGATAGAGTTGCCTGAGTTCTGGGGAGACATGGATATTCAGAAACACATTTATGAAGATTTTGATGAAGTAGTCTTAAAGATGAATGTATTACTTTCTGAAAAACATGTTGGTAAACCCCAAGAAAATGAACAGAGACTATCAACAGTACCACCAAACCTACCACAACAGCAGAGGGAGATAAGTGCAGAACAAGAACCAGGTACAGAGTCAATAACAGATCAGCTCACTGTAGAACAAGGAGTGAGTAGAGACCAGAGACCCCACAGAAGGGCAGTTTCAGGATCACGCAAAGGGTCAACAGGACAAGGATCACGCAGATCATCAGCTTCCTCAGGACAAGGATCACGCAGAGGGTCAGCAATGGAGCAAAGACCACATAGAGGGTCAGTTGCAGAACATAGCCATAGAAGCTCAGCCACAGAAAAAGCACAACAGAGAGGGTCAACTTCAGAGCAGGGATCACTCAGAGACTCCATAGCAGAACAAGATACACACACACAGCAGGACTTAAATAGAGAAGATGAGCCACACAGAGGGTCAGTTTCAGAACTTGAGCAACACAGAGCATCAGTAGCAGCAGGACAACGCAGAAGGTCGTCTGCAGAACAAGGACATAGAATATCAGCTTCAGAAGGAGAATCACTCAGAGGATCAATGATAGATCAAGGACAGTACAAAAGATCCACAGGTCAGCGCAAAGGGTCAGGAGTGTCAGCTTCAGAATATGGAAAACAAGAAGAGTTGGTAGTAGAAGAGTCACTGAAAGAGTCAGAACAAGGACCACTGGCAGACGCCACTATTCGAGAAGAGCAGGAGGTAGACTCAGCCTCACAACCAGAGCAAAGTAGTGCCTTAGGAACAAGTACAAAATCTGAACACATTCAAATGGCATCACAAGAAGAAAAGCCTTTGCAGCAAATAAGCAAGGAAGAAGTAGTCATGAATTCTGAACTACAGGAGGAAGTTCCTACATCAAGCAAAAGAGATCATCTTTCAGGTAGTAATAGAAAAGATTATCTTTCAGGTGCCAATTTAGTTCTACAAAATCAACTTCCTGTTTTCTGGAGTATTTTTAAAGATTTTTTTCAGAAAGTACTTATTTAAATTAGGATCTTTTCTGAAATACCATGTCATGTAAACCTGAGACATGTTGTGGTATTCAACAGAATGTCTATGATCAATTGACCTAGAATTTCATTGTTCTAAAAGTCCATTAGATAAAAAAGAAATCTATCAGTATTTTAACTGGGTTTTTGAAAGAGCAGAAGCATTTTTGTTTTAAATATAGTGTCTGACATTACAAGCCACTTTAAAATTTTCTTTTAAATTTTCTTTTTTTTTTTTTATGGTTACAAAATGGGTCTTGCTTCTTTCAGTTTTACATTTTCTTCTTTTCCTGTTAGTAACTTCAAAAAAGGATGCTCAAAAAGACAAATCCTGTGAACCCAAGTCCCAAAATATAGATGGAAAGTCATGGTCAGGTAACTCCTCATTTAATCTTTCCCTTGATACCCTAGAACAAAAACATGGTAAAACTGAAACTAAATTGGCTGTGTTGTGGAATGTGTTTTTCACAGGTGAATTTTTGACTTGTAACTGGAAAATGAAGTATGTCAAATATGAAGATGAGGAACAGGCAAAATTAATCTGTGGTGACCCCAGGTTCACAGGTACATATTAACAAAGAAACTAGGAAACATAGATGGCAGTCCAATACATGACTGTAATTTACCATTGTACCCTATGATGAAGACTGGATTTAGCTAAGGCATGGTATCCTACATTATTTTGTCCCTGAGGACTGACAGATCTAAACATATACAATATAAATATTTTTGGTAATGGTATGCTCTTGGTAGTGGTACTATTGTTGAATGTTCTTGCATCATTAGCATACCTGTCCTTTAAAACCATTTGTCCTAGTTTGTTTCTTCATTGCTGTAACAAAACACTCTGACCACTACCAACTTGGGGAGGAAAGGGTTTATTCAGCTTACATCTCCCAGGTCATAGTTCATCAGGGAGCCCAAGATAGGAACTCAGGCAGGAACCTGGAGGCAGGAGCTGGAGCACAGGCCATGGAGGAACACTGCTTACTGGCTTGCTTCCCTGACCCCTGCTCAGCCTGCTTTCTTATGCAACACAGGCCCACCTTCCTAGGTGTGGCAGCACCCACAGTGGGCTGGGCCCTACCACATCACTCAACAATCAAGATGCCCCATGGACATGGCCACAGGCCAGCCCGATACAGGCAATTTCCCAATTGAGGCTCCCTCAACCCAGATGTGTCAAGCTGACATTAAAGCTATCCAGCACATCATTACATTACCCTGAAGCTGCTTTGAAGACATGATCTAAGTATACAAAGGAGAATCAGGTATTAGATATTAGAACACAATGAAATGAATTCCAACTGCTAATTTCCCTAGTAGGTCTACACTAAACATGTTATACAGGTGAGAGTCTATCTTGTTAATGAATGAAGGCTTACAAAGAAAAATCTATTGAACAGATGGAAGAACAGTTTTTGGATTTCAGATAAGCCATATGTTTGTTTCATGATTGTTGCAAGTAATGTTCATATTTCCTAAAATGCTATTTTATCTTTTTTCCTTTCATATCAATAAGTAATAGAATTAATTGTAATTAGATCAAGATTATTTTCTATCTGCATTTTTTTTCTCATTTAAAGCTGGATCAAATAACAAACTTTGTTTTCAACATTATCTCTCTCTCTCTCCCTCTCCGTCTCTGTCTCTGTCTGTCTGTCTCTCTCTCTCTCTCTGTGTAGGTCAGAGGTAAAGTGTCTTCTCTATTGCTCTCCACCTTACTATAATTATTTGTACTACTTGTTGCTATGAAAGAGAGTGAGTATGCATGCTTAGGGTGTACAAGGCCTTTTATTCAACCCTAGCGCCAAAACAAAAGAATAGAAAGTGATTACTGTAATAGATACTTACATATTTTCCCTAAAATTTAAAAGAATAGTTTACAGCTTGATATACTTTCCTGCTTCACAGACCTACACGCAATTATCAGAAATTTACAGTCTTACAAGGAAGTAAAAGGTAGGAGCGACTTCAATGGAGTTTCCTTCAATTTGCTCCAGTTTGTGCAAGTCCTGGAGACATTTGTTGGTGAAGATACCCCCTTGAGTGTCAGTCAGAACCTCACCTCCTTTTTTCAGAAGGGCTATGTTGAAACAAAAGGAGAAAAAATGAGTTCTTTAGAACAGGTGGGTAATATTATTTATCAATATATCTAGTATGGTCACTGTTATAAGTAAATCTCTCAACCTTAATTACTCATAGTATGGCTTCTCTTAAAAAATTTACAGCCAAATGCACAATTTATTTCAATCAGCATTAAATATCTTTCGTTTTAATTGGCAAGATCACACTTGAGTAACTCTTTTCCTTAATAATGACATAACTGCTCCTGGCCAGAGAAGGTTCATGGTGCAGGGTTTTTTTTTCCCCTTCTCTGAAGCTGGAGGTACAAATACGTATGTGAAGATGTGTGTGTGCACTGTCACCATGTGAGTGCATTTACAAATGCATATACTTAGGGGTATGTTTATGCCTTAAGTATATATTTTCATTCATGGGCCCCCAGTGGCACATATTTTCTAAGCACTTCCTGCTTTCTTGAGTGATTTACAATGCATACATGTTACCTTATATAAGCAACTTACTCTATCTCATATGAAATGTGGGAATTAGTCTCACCAAGTTTATTCAAGTAAGTATCATCATCATTATGAGTTTGCTTAACCTGATTCCATGGTTGATATCCCTTTGTCCTCTTCAAATGCAGTCCCCTCCCCTTAATAAAAAAAAAAAATTTATTCAGGGCTGGAGAGATGACTCAGTGGTTAAGAGAACCTAGTGCTGTTGCAGAGGACCAGAATTTGGTTCCCAGCACAACAGTGTTGGATTGCTCACAACTCGAGCACCCTGGGGATCCTACATCTCTGACCTCTGTAGGTACTTGCACTTTTGTGCACATAACCACACACACAGATAATTTAAATTAATAAAAATAAATTCTTTAAAACGAAAAAGTACATATTCACTCGTGTGTAGTGTGTATGCATATGCACCTGCGTCTCATACTGAGGATGAGACCTAAGGTCTTGCATAAGCTAGGCAAGTGCTGTACTACTAAACTACATCTCTAGCCCTTGGTTTGTTTTGTTTGTTTGTTTTGTCTTGTCTTGTTTTTTTGTTTTGAGATGAGATCTCACTATGTAGCACTGGCTGGCCTGGAACTAACTATGTAGACTAGGCTGGCCTCAACTCAGAGACCCACCTGCCTCTGCCTCCCAAGTGCAGGGATTAAAGGTGTGTGCCAACACACCTGACCTTCTAATCCTTGATTTTTGAGACAGAATCTCACTATGTAGTCTTGGCTGTCCTCGAACTCACAATCCTTCTGTCTCAGTCTCCCAAGTGCTAGGATTATATACCATGCCTGGGTTATTTATTCTTTTTAAATTAAATATACTAAATTTATATAGTAACTCAATAATTGTCAATTTTTCTCTAATTAATAAAACTGGTCTACTGAAACTTCTAAAAAGTATTAAAATCAATTTCAAGTTAAATAAATGTTTATTATAAAAAAAATTTAATGTGCCGGGCATGGTGGCGCACGCCTTTAATCCCAGCATTTAGGAGGCAGAGGCAGGTGGATCTTTGTGAGTTCGAGGCCAGCCTGGTCTACATAGTGAGTTCCAGGACAGCTGGGGCTACAAGGAGACCCTATCTCAAAAAGCCAAAAAAAAAAGCTGGGTGTGGTGGCACATACCTTTAATCCCACCCAGCACTCGGGAGGCAGAGGCAGGCAGATCTCTGTGAGTTCGAGGCCAGCCTGGTCTCATAGCGAATCCAGGCCAGCTGGGGCTACAGGGAGACCCTGTCTCAAAAAGACCAAAAAGAAAGAAAAAAAAAAATTAACAGCCATTTTTTTTTTTATTTGAGCATTGCCATTAACTCATTCCTTCCTTTACAAAATACTCCCCGTTAAGAACCCAGGAAGTATACTCCATGTGCTTATCATAGTTTTGAATACCTAGGGAGGGACTGGAAAGAAATAATCAAGGATTCCTAAGGAGTATAATATCTATTTTAATCTAAAGTTTTTGGTCTAGGTGCAGAGAATTCCTGGATGTTTTGGGTTGAGAAGTGAAACAGGAAATGGCAATTAGGGGATTAAAATCAATCTCTGAATTTCCTTCTAATATTCTTAGCCCTAATATAAAGCTGATTCTATAAAGTGGTACACTTTTTCTAAACACAAGATTCTGGCTAGTACAATGAATGTTATGTCTTCTGTGCTTTATTATCTTGTTTGTATCCTAGGTTAGACAAAAGGCTTTCCAAATCCGACGGGGACTTCTCCTAGAAGCCCTCTTTCAGAAGTGGGACAATGATGGTTCAGGCTTTCTAGATCTGAATGAAGTTGATGAACTCTTGTATTCATATAAGGAGGGAATGGAAAAAGAATCTATGAAGAAAGGTGAACTATTGGCATTTTCGTATTTAAGTTGTGGTAACACCTTGGCTTCCAGTTTCCCAATACTATGACATATATACACACAGCTCAAAAACAGTCATTAGGGATTGGGAAGATGACTCAGTTGGTAAAGTGCTTGCAATGCAAGCATAAGGACCTAGTTCAGATCCAAGCACCTTTGAAAAAGTCGGGCACTGTGGCATGGGTCTGTGTACCTGTTACTTTTATGTTTCTACGATAAACACCATGATCAAAGCAACTTGGGGAGGAAAGGGTTTATTTTGTCTACTCTCCCAAGTGACAGTGCATCACTGAGGGAAGCCAGAGCAGGAACTCAAGGCAGGAACCTGAAGGCAGGCACTGAAACAGACCATGAAGAAGCACTGCTTAGTGGCTTGGTTCCCTGGCTTGTAAAGCTGATTTTCTTTTCCTTTTTTTTTTTTTTTTTTTTTTTTTTTTTTTTTTTTTTTTGGTTTGTTTGCTTTGTTTTGTTTTGTTTTTGAGACAAGGTCTCCCTGTAGCCCCAGCTGGTCTGGAGCTCACTTTTAGACCAGGCTGGCCTTGATCTCACAGAGAGCCACCTGCCTCTACCTCTACCCTCTAAGTGCTGGAATTAAAGGTGTACGACACCATTCCTGGCAGCTACTTTTCTTAAACAGCTCTGGTCTACCTATCAGGGGATGGTACCACCCACAGTGGACTGGGACCTCCCACATCAATTAGTAATTAAGAAAATACCTCAAAGATGTAGCCACAGGATTGCCTCCATGCAATCGGATGTAAGAAATTCCTCAGTTGAGGTTCCCTCTTCCCAGGTGTACGAAATTGTCAACTGAAGCTAAACACAATCTGTAACCTCAGCATTTGGGAGGTAGAGACATGTGAATCCCTGGTGTCATTGGCCAGCCAGTCTAGATGAATCAGTGAGCTCCAGGTTCAGTGAAAGATTCTGTCTCAAAAAATAAGGTGGGAAGTGATTGAGGAAGACTCCCAACATCAACCTCTGACAGCACATGTATACACACCTGCATATACAAGTGTACACGCTCATGAACTTGTAACACACACACACACACACACACACACACACACACACACACATACAATTAGTTGTTCTAAAGCTGTCAGCCACCACTCCAAACCTAATGTTATATTATATATTAACATTTTTTTCCCTCTCGCAGTCCTGGGATTGAATTTAAGGCCTTATGCATAATAGGCATGCACTCTGAGATATATCTCCAGCCCACTCCCTCTTTCTTTTGATACAGTCTCAATAAATCGCCCAAATTAGTTTTGTTTTATTTTGTTTTTGTCTTTTTGAGACAGGGTCTCCCTGTAGCCCCAGCTGGCCTGGAACTCACTATGTAGACCAGGCTGGCCTGAACTCACAGAGATCCACCAACCTCTGCCTCCCCAGTGCTGGGACTAAAGGCATGTGCTACCACATCTGGCCCAGGTTGGTTTTGAACTGGCCTGGTAACCTAGGCTGGCCTTGAACCTGTGATCTTCCTGCCTCAATCTACTGAATAGCTTTAATTTCTGGTCTATACCACCAGACCCAACAGTTGAATTTTTATTTTATTTACTTATTTATTTTTTGTTTGCTTGTTTTTGAGACAAGGTCTCACTATGTACCCTGGCTAGCCTATGTAGACCAGACTGGCCTGGAACTCAAAAGAAATCTGTTGGCCTCTGTGTCCCAAGTGCTGGAATTAAAGGCATGAGCCAGAGCCACCACATCCAGCCAGGTAGAATTTTTAAATAGAAAATAATGAGTACTAGCAAGGATGTGGAGAAGTTGGAACTCTTGTGTATTTGTCAGTGTGGTCAGAAGCAGAACATACCGTAGAGTGCTTTTCCCAAGACAGCAACTGTACATCATTTCCTTCTTCTGTACCTGATTACTCTCACTTCTGAGATTAAAAGTATCCAAACCAGCCGGGTGTGGTGGCACGCACCTTTAGTCTCAGCACTTGGGAGGCAGAGGCAGGTGGATCTCTGTGAGTTCAAGGCCAGCCTGGTCTACATAGCAAGTTCCAGGACAGCTGGGGCTACAGGGAGACCTGTCTCAAAAAAAGACCAAAAATTAAAAAAAAAAAAAAGAAAAAGAAAAAAGTTTAATGGAAAGGTGCCATCTAAAAAGAA